GCAACGAAATAATAACCATTAAAAGCAGGATGAAATGGTGCACCGAACGCTTCCAAGTACTCTTGGACATCTTGCTTCGATTAGATGTGCCGTTCATTTGAAAAAAGCGACATTACTTTCGGAACTACCCAACATTATGTAGAGCAAAGCTTTGGCTGCATTTTACCCATTCTATGTTACGTGGGTCACGTTTACCAAGTCCGTTATAATTATTTATTCAATAAAAACCGCGGCTTTTTGATTACGTTTGTCACGTAAAAGTACCGAAAATTCCAAAAAGCTGGTTTTTTGAAGTCAATCAAACTGGGTAATGTTGCATAAGTGTTCAGTAAGAATCATGTTGCAATTCGCAAAAACTTCAGAAGTTTTCATGTTTTTGCTCAAGTGGCGTGTTTCACGCTTTGCCAAAAATCGAGACCTCCGAAAAAATAATTTTTTGGAGCGAAAATCAGCAGATTAGTGGAATCAAGAAGTATCATCTTGTAGTCCGAGAATTGCTCTATTTAATCTTAACTTAACTCTTTCCGAAAGTTTGAAATGAAATTTTCAAAAATTAGTCGAGCTTTGAGCAGATAAAAATGACGGGTGAAGAATTTCAGCAATTATAAAGAAAGCATAAGGATTGTGGTTCGAAAATGCAACTACAAGAAAAAGAAGGAAAAGCTGCGTCGAATACATACTAAAGCTCACTCAGATCTCCATTGTGCGTGGTCTTATAGTGGTCTGAAAAAAACCGACAAAACTTTCGTGCCAATCTAATTTATTAGGTTGGTTCGAAAGTTCTGTCCCACCATTTTCAAAAAATCGTAACTTCTTCCTAACACGATGTTTTTGCATGGATAAAACTATATTAAAAAAACAATTTATGTACTTTCTAAAACTTTGCTGGTTGCTATTCAGTAAGTTTTGAATGCAGAGATAAAATTGGGAAAAGGAAATCACTTCAATTTTGGGATTTTTAAGCAAGCCCGTTAAAAATCCAAAAGTGTGCCATAAAATCCAAAGCAGACAGTATCCTAAGCTTTTTGATCCCCTCTTTCCAGCTGAGCAAGATTCGCGTTGATCGAGCTCTTTTGAAAGAACTTATGACTTCCAAGAAAAAATGCCAAATGTTCTGAAGCACCATTTTCAAAAATTTATAACTTCTGATTTTTCGAACCGATTTGACTGTTTTTATTTTTTTTATGAAAGAGTAAGTGTCAATGGGTATACTATGTTATGCCAGTGCCAAATTTGTACGGTGGAACTCTTTATTGGCCTTATGTTTCGACAAATTCGCCTTCTTCGGAGGCCTTAATCCACCGTTGTGTTAGTGAGAGTCAGTAGAGTCAGCACGTAGCCGCACCGGAGAGACAGACTACTAGAGTGTAATCTATCTCTCCGGTGCCGCTACGTACTGACTCTACTGACTCTCACTAACACAACGGTGGATTAAGGCCTCCGAAGAAGACGAATTTGTCGAAACGTAAGGCCAATAAAGGATTCTACCGTACAAACCTGGCACTGGCATAACATAGTATAGCCACTGACATCAATTCCAAATGCCAAGATTCAGAGAGGAGAAAACATGAAAGAGTAAGTCATGCTCTTTATAATGACGTGTTAGCTACTTAGTAATGTTCATCTATTGCATAGATAGGAGCGATAGAATAAAATTGGTCATAATTTGAATTTTCTGTGTAGGGTCATAAAAAATCGGAAACTTGCAACAAAAATCGGAGCAGTCAGTATTGAGAGTTCATTCACCAGCTCTTTCCAACAGTGCAGAGTTTGCGCCGATTGAGCGTCTCTATAAAAAGTTACGATTTTCGAGCAAGCAGTACAAAAGAGCGAATTTGATTTATTTTGGCATTTTTCAGAGAAATCATAACTTTTCATGATTTGCTGATTCTAAATGTGAAGTTCGCAACTATTCGTAATGCTTCATTAAAAAATCATGCGAGGTAAGCAATAGCGGCTTTTTTTGATTTCCTAAAAAATGCGGTTACACCGTTTAGAAAGCTTCGCAACCTTGTAAAGAGTTGGATATTGAACTCAGCGTCCACGAAAACCCTATTATACAAGTTTCCACATTTTTTTGAAAGTTTTTGAAACGGCCGCTTTTTTCGCACGAGCATTTTCGTTTGGTACCCGTCTCTTGCTTGTTTCCAACGCAATTCTAGCAAACTTAGGCCATATTGTAGCTCTTGATCTCTTATCAGTCTCATAACGTCGCCAATCCCCACTCTTGATTTGAACGAGAAAATTGGCAAACTATTTTGCAAAATCTCGTGTTTCCACAGTTTAGTTCCTTTCACGCGCTTATTTCGTGCATGCAATAGATCTTGCTCCTGTTTATAATGTAGAGGATGTCGCAAATCACTTCCTTATATGGCGAAACTTTTGGTGGAAAGCAGCAAAAGCACTTGGAATGAGTACACTACATTTTTTCATGCTTTGGACCATGTTGTAAAAATCCAAAGGATCAATTGGATTGTCGTTAATTTGAACTTTGACTTTATTCTCAACATTCCGCTTCCGAAACCAACTGCAAAAAAAGAAACCAACATTCTCTTTTTCAGAGTTGTGAACCGGCACGTCCTGCAGCGAAAACCGCAACTTGGAACACCGCAAAAAGAAGGATTTCAAAATTATTGTAGCTTTTCTAACGAATCTTAGCACTTTCTTTTCTTGCCATTCCTTATTTTTTCGCATCACTGATTTTCTTAGACAACCTTCACTTTTTATGGAGTCAGGGAGTTTTTATGGAGTTTTAAGCAATTTTTACCTTCGCGGGTCTACCTTTAGATATTTGAAGATACGCCAACGAGTTAGCTGCAGTAATTTCAAGTTTATCGGTTTTTGATGCTGGTGCTGTAGAGTATACGTGTACAATCATCCGAAAAATTTATTTGTGAGTATTTGTGATCACAGACTTTGCTTATTACCGTATAGCGCACTAAGAACGATCATAAATAGCTGTACTCGTAACAAAACGGATGAGATCATATGAGTGCAATACTCAAACATAGAGGTAGGTAATGAAAATTTACTGAAAAGAGTGGCAAAAGGAAGATGAGCTGGATGAGAAGATCGAAATCAGATATGCTAAGAACTATTCAGCATCTCCAAAGTTGATTATGGCTAATTACTAAAAAGAGCATATATTAATTCGGGCTAAGACATGTCATGCGTAATCATGTCTTATATTTTTACCTAATCATACAGGGTATCCCAAGAAATGTGAACGTCTGATCTTCAATAACTTCCTCATATGGAAAGCTTTTGCGGATCCTTCAGGTGCCATACGGTATAGCTACTCAGACAATTATTGCGAGCACCCGCGGCCCCTAACGGTGTCCTTCGGCGGTGCGCGGGCGTCAAATTCTTGCACTGACCATCCGCGGCCCTAGATTTATTTGCTTGGCGACCCGCGGCCCAGTGTTATCATTACAGAAAGGCCGCGGGCCTTAAATATTTTATCGGAACACCCGCGGCCCAAGAAAATCACACGGGCGAGTCTCGGCCCTTACAGGACTCCCTGCATATGTGGTTTTCGGGCAAGCCCGGCCTTCTAGGCCACGGCCCGAGAGAACGATTCTGGCGAGCCCCGGGCCTTGCTGGATGCCGCAGTTCTTACACGCTGTAGGAGGAAACGTTACTTGCGTGAGATAGGGCGCGGTGGTAGAGCTACCCTCCACATTTGATCGCAAGGACAATCCATTTTGGTCGTCGAAAGTTTCTTGGATGACACAACTGAAGCCCTCGATTGTGGTTATAGGGTTGGAGCGTTGATGGGGAGGAGTGTGAACGTTATCCTGTATTTTTGTGTAGATTGCGGCCTTTACGGTAAAACGGAACTGGAGGCTTCTCAAAATTTTTCGTAATTCAAGTACTGAGTGCGTATCGGGCCACCCGCGGGTGCGAATCGCGCATTTATCGGGCGCTTGTCGGGCCATCCGATGGTATTATTCGGGCGCTTATCGGGTCACCCGCAGGCATTGTCGGGCGCTCATCGGGCACTTACCGGCGCGCCCTCGGGATGGGCGTGGCGTCGCCCGTGGGTGGTCGGCGGGTGCTCGCCATAATTGTTTGAGTAGCTCAGCTTAGATTTACAGTATAGAGCGAATCCGGGTTTTTCTTAGTTACTGTAGGATTACAGTGGGAATTTTTGACTAATTTTAGGCTTCTGACAGACGAGAATTGCTTCTCAAAATTCCGAAGAAAACCGAATAACGTCAAATCAAGGTTTTTGGAATGCTGAACCTAATTACGAAGTTTTCTGCTATCGTACATCCCGGCTTCTTATGGTATGCGCACATAACGGTTTTTTTCCATTACTGAACCGACGTTGCAGTTACAAACACTTCAAAATCAATCAATCAAATCAACAAAATGAAGTGAAATTATTAGGTGTGTTTAAAACTTGATTTAGTAATTTTTTACACTAATTATTTGCAATTAACAAAGAATGATAAGGTCTTTGACGTTCAACTAAATATTTCTTGACAAAGGCAATGTTAATTCAGTGAATTTTAAAAGAAGTCAAAAATTCAGCGTTACAGTGCGCATACCTTAGGAAGCCGAGGAGTACGGTAGCGAAACACTTTGTGATTAGATTCAGTACCCCGAAACCTTAGTTTGAGTGCTTCGGTTTTTTACAGATTTTTTTAGAAGCAATTCACGTTTGTCAGAAGCCTAGAATTAGCCGAAAATTTCTACCGTAATCCTACAATGACTAAGAGAAATCGGTATCGTTCTATATAGCGAATCTAAGTTGAAGCTAGCCCTACCGTATGACACCCAAAGATCCGCGAAAGCTTTCCATATAAGGAAGTTATTGAAGATAAAATGTTCGATACATTTTTGGGACACCCTGTATAAGATTATCTAATTATCTGATTCGAATGAATGAAATCGGTATCAATAACAATGGTCAAATCAATGTCACGTCAAGAAAAGAATGATTGATGTAAACATATACAGTAAATCGTAGCTGATTTGCGTTGCAGACGTATATATCACGCAGTTGCTGAATGAGGAATTTTCAAGGTATTTATATATGGAAACATCATTGCGACCAGAAAACATCCATCGGAGATGAGGCATTAGATTGCGGACGTCTAGTTGTGCGTCGCGTGCCATTGCAACTAGGTATTCATCACCTATAAAGATTATTTTAGATGTGACGGCGAAAGTTCTGTTTTTTTTCTTCGAGTTTGAAAAGTTTTTCAATTGTATTTCTAGTCTTGATTGCTCAAAAGGGTTGAGCAGGAGTTTCGGCTGTAAGTTGTAGCGAAACTGAGCCCTCTGACAATCAATTGAAGCTCTATTAGTGGAGCCGACATATGCATGGTCTCGTCGTCTGAAGTGCGCTTTCTTCATACAGGTTACCCGGAAACTCTCCTATTCAAAAAGCTTGAGTGCGAACTTTTGAAGGAATGCAAACGTCGAGTCTCACTAATCCCCGGCTAATCTAAACATATAAAACTGAGTGTTGTAAATTGTTAGTTAGTGTGTTCTTTATGAAATTTTTGTGTGTGGACTAACCAGCGCCAAACCTTGCACACATATGTTTTCGACACCGTTCCACCTCGTAGGCTACTTTTCGCAGCGAAATTCCCAATCCTTCTGTCGGTTTGTTGATTTTGAAGAAAAATGAATTCTTATCAATCGTTATCAAACCGCTTCCAATTTTCGTGTAAACAACAGCGCTAGAACTCATTCTCATTCCACGATGAAGGAGATGCGGTATTCCAAGGCTATGTGATCAGAAAATATCTGCCCTATGCTACAAGAATAGCAGAAGAAGGCCGAAACGCAGATAAGTTGAATAATTCAGAATTGTGCACGAATCTCTTTGTTGAGCCAGTTAACACGGTGCGGGCGAAGCCGAGCATGCCAGCTAGCGTAAAATATACTATACAAAGGGGAAGGGAAAGGGAAAGAGGAAACCGATTTTGCCGGGGGGTGAAGACAGAATAAACGTTGGCTATCTTAGACCAAATTCCATCCTGAGAAGCTCTCGGGGATTATCTGCGTCCCGCCATACATAAGCAACCAACCCTCTTTTATTCACCTCTAAACTATTAGAGAGACATCTATATATATATAAAACTCAAAAATTGTCAGTTTGGAGGGTATGTGCGTTATAGAAACGCGCGCCGCTCAACCGATTAAGCTGAAACTTTACACACATATGTTTTGGAGCCTTGCGCAGATGATAGGCTACTTTTTGTAGCGATTCGTTGGGTCCTTCTATCGATTTATTGATTTGCAGCACTTTGCAATAAAAATGATTCTTATCATTTGCTATCAAAACAGGGGTATGTAAACAAGGCTGGCATGTCTCATTGTGAACTTCTGTTGACGAAGTGCAGTGAAAAGTGTTCTTGATGTGAGTCTCAATTGCTCATTTAAATGGATGCACTAAATGTATCTTATGCGGAAACCTTAGCGTGCAAGAGACCATGAGTGCTTTGTAGCGAGTGTTTTGCACGGAAGCGTGCTCAATTTACGCTTATAATCAATGCTTTCTTCGTTACATGCTCAATTTAAACAATGAGGGGTCAAAATTTTTCATGAGATTGCGCACAAATTATTTGTCAATACCAGAAATAATGTCAAGACAAGCGACAACTCACATTCGCTATAGTTGATCCCTTGGACCAGGAAAGTGCGCGAGTGCAAAGTACTGCCGACTCCACAAAAATTGACGGCAAGCAGTGAATGAAGATGAAGTAGCCGGTTAACGGCAAAGTGTCACAAAAAATGATCCTCATAATAACAATGAGCGCTGCTATCAATTAACTCGCGCTGCTTGCTTAGGTTTTGCGTGTTGAACTTGATTTGGAGAAAGAGAGATATGCTACCGACTAATAAGTGTTCACATTTTGTTTTTGTTCTTTACACAGTTTCTACAATGCCACCGAATACCTTATCTTCATTCCCGATCAGTGATCATTCCCGGGCTGGACCGGGCAGATCAGCTAGTTCTACATAAAAATATCCTGCATTTTTTGATTTTTGATACCTATATGCCTAATATTGCTCGTTTACATGAATGTACGGTTTAGCAGCGATCTGACGGTGAATGTTGGATCTGCTCAATTAACCCAAAACCTATCATCTCTCTAAAAAGAGGGGAGGTTGAAACCAAGATTCTACAATAGCAAGAATACGTTTTCCATATACAAATCAACTCAAATAGAAGCTTTCGATAAGTCTGAAAGGTAAATTGGACGAAAGGCACAAGGTTACAAAAGCTCTGCCATTCCGGGCCTCAGAAGGGTTGTGCTACTTGAACCTCACTAGTTTCATTGCAGAGCTTCCAGCACGTATTCTCATCCATAGACACAGACCTAGAAAATATCATAACAGACTAATTGGGACACATGGCTTTGCCTGGTTCCTGTCAGCTATGATAATTTATCACCATTCCGTCCCACTATTGCACAACATTTCTCTGTCCCATTACCATACCCCAATCCCTGCTTTCTTCGCGTGCTTTCATAATCAGCGTGCTCGTTTATCCCTCTCCTGTGCCAACTCTACCCCTGTAAATCAGTTTGCAAGAAAACCACGACTGATAAAATCAATGGCTATTTTTACAGTTGGTCATTACAATCGTAATCAGCATACTCACTCACTCCCTGAGCAAGCACTGGAGGAGGAGGGGGTGAGGGGTTAAAGGGGTGTATGTCAAGAGGCGCAATTTCTATTGCCAGCTGGGCACCAAATACCGCATATTTGTTGTTTTTTAACATTCTAGAAGTCTTTAAGAATTCGAGTTAGATACAATACATAGTTGCGTTATTCAGTCTTCTTACTTTTGAACCGATTCAAAGCAAACGTGTTGAAGGTCAAAAGTCTATGAAAATGCATTTGATAGCAATTTTGTAAATATTTCGATTAGTTTTTCAGTAAAAAACGCCAAACTCAGCAGGCAGTAGCTTCAAACGGCTAATAAGCCAATACATTTGTTTTGGTACTTTTTAGAGACTTCTATAGCATAAAATTGAAGTTTTGAGTTGGTGACAGCCAGAGAAATCGCGCCACTTGACAGTCTCCCCACTTTGGGGTGGAGCGGGTGTCATAGCCTACTTTCGTCACCGATCGATATCGATTTTATCGATTTTTATCGATTTTTTGCAGAGTTCACTACGGGGTTGGGATTTGGCATGGGGAGGGGGATAATCGAGCATGCTGATTACAAATACAATATTAGTTTTTAGATTTATCTATTACTTTTACCGATTTTATCGATTTTTTTTTGCAAAGTTTGAGCTACGGGGCTGGGAGTTTGCACAGGGCGTAATCGAGCATGATGATTACTAGAATAGCGGGAATAAGGAAATGGCATTAGACGTGGGCACAGGGAAGGGTTGTACAGGGATAGGGGAGAGCTTTATCATAGTGTTTTGACAGAGCCGAGCGGAGCCGGGCAAGTCAGCTAGTGAACATAAAGTGAAGAATGAGAAAAACATGTAAAGCACTCTACTCTTGCTAAACTGTATCAGCTACTTATACAAATAAGCGATATAAACAAATTCCACTGAGCATGAGAAATCTAACGAAATCTAACAGCTAACAAAACAATAAATATTATCGCGGATTCGCGACTTCCTTCAAAGGAGGCCGCCGCCGCGCTGCGAAGGGGTCCCGAAACGCTGTCCTGGCGCTGATCCCGCCTTCCCATCGCTACCGCCGCAGCTTTCAAGTCAATCGTCATTATCGTTACCTGGTGAGCGATTGCGTCCCAGTTTCGTCTCCCATGCTATCGATCTATGCAGCGCCGTCCTCAACTCACGCGTCATCTTCATCCAACACGCCACGGAGGACAGGCAACCCCGCAGACGAGGTAACCCCGTACGCGCTCGCGCCTGGCACATGCCGGCGACACCGCCACGGGGTGTTTCCGATATTGTCGGCCCCTAGGATAACATCTAGCTGGTTGCACTCACCCCTTGTGTTTGAGTTTGGGGAATTGTTGTGGATAAATGGTGGGCATTTTACAGGTGTGATTTGTTTGATGCGATGAGCCACAGCTCGGCTGTCCGGGGATATCTTGTGTCAACATGTTTGTGTGTATTTTATAATCATGCCTAGTGGGATAGATCTGTAAGAAGACTGGCACGACCCCGGGTAGTGCCTTGATTATAAGTACCACGCCCCAACTGATAGTTGGGAGAAGTCGAGTCGCAGGTGTTGAATGACTGCTAAGTAGGCTGGTGGCAAGGGCCTCTATGTGTGCATGGTGTGTTTTGTGGCAGGCGCAAGTAGCATTATCATAGGTAACGCCACCACAATGTACGCTACATCCTATCCCGGATGGGACCCCTGGCTCCCCTCGCCGATGCAGAAGAGCCGTTGTATCACTGACGTTGGGAGCTGGGGGCCCAATCCGCGACAAATATAAGTCTGTGAGAAACTTTGTGTATTTGTTGATATCTTCGGGGCACAAAGTACAATACGAACAAGAAAGTTCGTATACTCCGCCCTCAGCAAATGAGCGAAGCTTCACCTGATACCGAAGTAGTGGAAAAGGTTATCATCGCAATACTCTTCTTCCGTGTTGCTTCGCAGCTCCGGTTTCAGCTGGTTCTTCCCATGGTTGGGGTTAGATCGGTTGCTTTGTCTTCTGGTTGTCAGCAGTGAGGTGCTTCCTTGTCAATTTTCGGTGGCGTCGTTAAGTCTGAATCCATCAGAATCTCCCATAACAGCTTCCCTTGTGGCTTTCTGTGGTGATTCGTCTATCTGGACTGTGGAATGGTTTTCCACCTGTGGGTCCGTATAGGTCGTACCGCATCCCTTGTCAGTACGATATTGTCTTCATGCGACTTCTTCAATCCTCCTGTGTCGTATTAAATTTTGTGCTGCTCTCGTGGGCGCCATCGAGAGTTGGACATCGTTTCTGTGTCTATGAGGGTCCTCCTGAATCCATCGAAAGCAATGGCGAGCACTCCGAACGTTTCTTACAGCGATTTCCTGATGCATCGCGTACTCCTTTCGTAGAACGCACCCTGCCACGGTGCGCAAGGGGTAATATGTCTCCGGGGTAATATGTCTCCATCTCCTCGCCGTGCTTTTCCGCTTTTTCTGCTTTTCCGAATTCTGTACGATTTACCATGTTTTCTTTAGCGTTTATTTGTAATAGGTGGTTCCT